CGGCTCCACGGGGGAATCCGGGGCTGGAGGGACGGCCGGAGAGCAGTGACAATAATCGAATAAGGCATTAGGGGAGATTAGAAGGAAGAAATCCACTGCTAGTTTTGGCATGGAATTAGCAGGGACCCGTTAGGAAATCTGGAAAAGCGCTGGCATCTTGCTGATAGAGATTATGTTAGAAATGGCCTCAGCTTTTATTATGTTTATGGTTCACCAAGAGATTATTATGCAGCTTCTGCATCATTAGAACTTAAAAAAAATACGGTTTTTCCAATTTGCTTTTTTTTGACCTTTTTTTTTCAGCAGATTTCCTCATGATCAGTCTTTTAGAGCTGTAGAAAGCACATGAATATCCCATTTTCATGGAATGTCTGAACAGTCAACTTTTAGAGCTGGTTCAGGGTTTGGGGGAAAAGAGTGATCTTTTTCTGTTTTCTTTTTGTTGCTACTGCTTTTTGTTAATACTAAGCTGTTTTGGAGAGTTACGTGCGCAGATTTTGCTTGGACTTCAAATGAGGGCATTATCGGGACTTCTGTTAGAACTGGAGCTTCTTACTTTTAAACCACTAGGGCTGCATATCATTCCTCAATTTTTCCTTACAAGTACTGACTGGATCATTACTGTCCCATTCGTCGGTAACTGTGTTAATATAATCAGCCCTACAGGAAAATAAGATCAGGCTCCTTCAGCTCTTTCTGTGACCTTATTACTTCTTCTAAAGCCAATGAATGATGTTGCACATATGTCATTTATCTACACTGTAAACAAAGCAATTGAGTCAATTTTCTTTCCTCATGGTAATGCAGTGAACAGGTTACAGAGAACGCAAATTATTTTCATAGAATTTTGTTGCATAAAGCACATTTGCATTACCAGCTTCTAAGAAAGTGTAGTTAATTATCAAGAGATGGAAAGAAAGTGTTTGCGTGAAACTAGGTGAATCGTGTATTTATTTTACAGCAAGATGTGAGGTTTTGTTAGCTAAAGAAAGTCCAGGTCTGAGGCTGGATGCTGCCAAGCTTTTCACCTAAAGCTTTGACTTCTGAAAGAGAGACTGCAATGCTACAAAACGAGGAGAGTATGAGGATGGCATTAGAAATATGAGATGTCCTCTGTCACTGAGGCTCTTCCCCTGCTGTCATGGGCTGTAGTGTCATATAATCCATACGGGTGGCTGGTTGGGCTCTGGCTCTGTCTCTGAGCAGTTGTGAACTCCAGCTCCTGAGAGGGTTTAGCACGCGCTGCAAACACACCAAAGATACCATCTATGTGAAGGCTTAATGATCAATATGAATGTCTTGATCCAGCTCTGCTCAAGGTTTCCTTGATATTCAGAGCAGGTTATAAGCATGAGCTTAGTCATTTAGGGTAAGCACTAACAGTAGCACATGCTCTATGAAAAAAATCAGGGTTTGTATGAGTTATTAACTGTAGAAAAGGGAAATCAGCAAATCAAAGTTGCCTTTCTGGCAGGGGGTTATTCTTCCATCTGCACACCCAGACTCAAAGCCCAGCAGTTTGAAACTTTACCCCATTTCTCTAATCTTACTGATGTGTTTGAAGGTTTTATATGCATCAGTCAGAACACTAAAACTGTATTTAGCACTTAAACACCACTAATACCCATTTTTAGCAAATAAACTTCCATTAGTATTAAATATGTAAACACTTTTTAAAAGCCTTTTTTTTTTTTCTGTATATGTTGGGGCACTTAATTCACTGCTACGATACCTGTACTTTGGCTTACCTTAGGTTTCCTCTTGGAATAATACCATTTTCTTTTTCAAAAAAAAAAAAGGATATTTGAAAGAATGGGAAATGTTACCTTACCAAAACATTTGCAAGAACTCTCTAATTTCATTTGCAAAATGATTAAGAGGAGCTAAACTTCTTTAAGCGAAACACATGCTTTGTATATACCAACAACCACTTGGTAAGTTGCAAATATCCAATTGTCAAACAATAAGATAAAGTACAGTGAAATTAGGCATTGTGGGGCAAGTTACTTCCTTTTGGTGATCTGATTATCCAGCAGCTTTTTAAATAAGCATTCTATGGGCATTAAAAGCTCAAGGCAGCAGAGCAGTCTACCAGCCATTCTGTATTTGCTGCACTCCACTTGCACTGTTGTGGATTGCACAAGAACATGCCAGCTATAATCCTATCACTTACAATTGCCTCTTATTCACTACTACCCTGTTTCAAATCAGACTCCTACTGCGTGTGTAAAAGAAAAAAAACACACACACACACAGTCTGCCATTCACTAAGAGCAGACTAGAATTTGAGGCAGTGAGGCAGATTTTTCTCCCCTCCCGGGTGAAAAAAAAAAAAAAAAACTCTATTTCCTTCTTTTTTTTTGAACTAGGTTGAATCTGGGTATGGTTGGACCTATAGTGCAGCAGCTGTTTTGGGACAAATGTGTGTCCCCTCCAAAGTGAGGCATCTGAATAAGAGCAAGTCTTAAGAAATTTGTATTTTTTAGTACATGTCCATCATGAAAACTCACTTTACCACTTAGGCTGAAAAATGGGTGCGCTGTGAAGAAAACAAAGAAAAGAGAGAATAACACCAATAGATTAACTGGTTTGAGAATTTACTGAGCTCTTTTTCTCTTTTTCACTTAAGACAGAGCAAGCTCAAGGGGTGATCTGCACAGAGCAATACTGGTCAGATAAAAAACAGTTCAGCATTTGTCTTGCAATTAAAAAAATAGATCACAACATTTTCCCTGAAACAAGATAGTTGTATTGACTTCCAGTCTAATCTGGAAAGGAGCACTTCAGGAGGATCACTTTACCATTCTTGACTGTCATGCCAGTTAATGAGTTAATTTATTTTGATGCTGATTTCTTTTCTCTTGTTCGCTGTTCTTGATTCCAGTTCTCTTATTCTAGCAAAAGGCTCTCTTCTCCTCTCCTCAATAGCTTTGTGTCATGGTAAGCTTCTAAGGTCAACCATAAAAATCCTTTAACCACCCATCCTGGCACCACATAAGGAGTTGATAGAGTGACAAATTTGGTGGAATGCGTTAGTTCAGCAGTGCTCCTGCTATCTGCTAGTAGATACATGAAGGAATAGATTGATCTCTACCTTAGAGTCCCTTTCCACCAGTGTAAAAATGCCTTAGGTTTTGTTCAGTTGTTCTTTATTTCCATGCAACAAGTGACAGGGTAGAAGGAAAGCAAGGCAAGCCTGGCTTATCCAGTACAAATTAGAGCAGCACACTGGCTAGCCTAGACTGTTCCGTTAGGGTCAGAAATACTTGAAAATGAAAATAAGGGCTTAACAGTATAGAAACAGAGGAACACTTGAAGAACATCAAAATAACTGTCCTGTGCCAGGTTAGCGCTATAGCTCAGTATTTTGGTTTATAGTATCCTCTAGCTGTGAGGATTTTGACCTCTCCTGACTGAGCTGGAGTTACACAGAGGTTGTCAGGGAGAAATTAGCAATGCACCTATCCCTTATTAATTTGTGTACCTCATTTGCAAACCCTTTTATATTCTTGGCCTTTAATTTCTTTAACGGCAGCAACAAAATAATACAAAGTACAGTGAAATTATGCACTGTGGGACATATTGTTTCCTTTTGTTGAGCTGATAATCCCAATGCCTGGCAGCTGCATAAGAGCCTCCTAGGATGCTGCTAAGAACACTGCAGCATCACTTCCTTTTTGCCTTCCTCATTAAGTGTGATTTTATAGACATCCAGCATGTCCTCTCCCATCGACGTTTTTCCTAGCTGGAAAGGCCTAACCCAGTTACTTTCCTATGAAAGCTGCTGTATGTGTCGTGTTAACCTTGCTCTTCAACTCTAGCAGTGCTCTTCTGTTGGAGAGTGAGCAGAATTGCAAGCAATATTCACTAGGTGGGCATATCCTGGGCTGCATTAAGAAGAGCATCTGTGAGGATTTTGACCTCTCCTGACTGAGCTGGAGTTACACAGAGGTTGTCAGGGAGAAATTAGCAATGCACCTATCCCTTATTAATTTGTGTACCTCATTTGCAAACCCTTTTATATTCTTGGCCTTTAATTTCTTTAACGGCAGCAACAAAATAATACAAAGTACAGTGAAATTATGCACTGTGGGACATATTGTTTCCTTTTGTTGAGCTGATAATCCCAATGCCTGGCAGCTGCATAAGAGCCTCCTAGGATGCTGCTAAGAACACTGCAGCATCATTTCCTTTTTGCCTTCCTCATTAAGTGTGATTT